TTATTTCATTTATTTTCTTTTGCAGAATAACTGAGTAATAAATAAATGAAATACATGATATTCTTTCAAGGGATGGATTACGCAGATCTTAAGCGAGTTCCCGCTATCAGATTTCCGAAATGAACTAGATAATATATTTTCGAAACTATCTTCACTTTACTTCTATAACATTCGCATAACATATAGAAAAAGTTTCACAAGAGAACTTTCCGGATTTTTGATCTATATGATATTTCGAGGCAAATTAGTGAGGTAATAAAAATTAAAACGACACACATATCATTATATTTCTACGCGCGCTTTCTTATTGCGATTCTTTCTTAAATTTCATAACACATTGAAAATAAATAATAAATATTCGGATTTTAGAATCTGTTTTAAAGAGCTTATATATGACAAAAGTCATGATGATGGCAAAGCCCAGCAATTTTCGGACGTGTTAACGATCACGATTTTAACAGAGATCAAAGATCAAGAACGTTAATATATCCACTTTGACTTTGTATCTATAAAGCCAGAAAAAATTATTAGCATTGCGATGTTTTAATCAAGATGAGAAACAAACCATCATACCTTGTCAATACATTTTGAATTTATTCGTTTGGTTGAATATTGATGATGAGATAAAGGTAAGTTCCAATATTTTGCTTTGATTATTTGCTTATAATTTGTGCAAGGCAGGTAAAGATATTTTCTAATTGTCTCCCTTCTCTTTGTATGATTTCCAGCGGTCCAAGATTCGAATCTGGAATAAATCTTTGGGAATCACGATTATATCATGAAAAATCAGATCATGGGATTCCCACAAAGACAAACAACTTGATCGCTAACCATGTGGGATCTTTTTTATTACTATTAAATGAGGTAAAATTTGTTGATTCTTGGTGAAATTCATAATAACCAATTAACATATGTGTATCTTATATCTGAGCAAAAAAAAAATAAATTAAGCGTAGGTTACAAGAGGAACAATTTGTATATGCTAATTAAATTTTTATTTGTTCTCCTCCCACTACTTAAATAATAATAATCTATATATTAAAAAAATTGAGCGACATCAATCAAGCTGTGGCACAGGTGGCGTATGTTTTTATATGATACGTATTAAAAAATATACAGTACTGAGATATAATATTGATTTAAAGACCGAAACTTTATTATATGCATGATAAAGAATATGCGCTATTTATTCTATACTCAGATTAATCACTTTTTTTAATATATAACGTTTAACACTATATAGTTTAATAAGTAATGGTAAGTTAAGATAAGTAAGTCATTGAACACTATATAGTTTAATAAGTAACGGTAAGTTAAGATAAGTCTAATTGCATCATTGATAAAAGTTTAATGCTAAGTCTAATGAGTAAGAATAAATCTAATTACGTAGTAATGTATCAAAGTTGCAGTTCAATTTTAAATCTAAAGTTTGATGCTAAAGTCAAATAAGTTGCGATATAACTATTATGTACGAAATTGCAGTTCGATTTTAAATTTTAAATTCTGTAATTGAAAAATATTGTGAATGAATATTATACATAACATATTCCCAAAGTTTCTTTGCGAACCATTTATCGTGACTATACTTTTAAAAATAATTAGATCGTAGTTAGAATTCTAGACGATAGTTTTAAAATATAAAGTTTATTGCTAAAGTCTAATAAGTAAGAATAAGTCTAATTACATAGCAACGTAATATTATGTATTGAAATTGTAGTTTGATTTTAACTCTAATGTTTAATGCTAAAGTTTAATGAGTAAGAATAAATATTGTAAATTAATTATTATATGAAAGTATAAAGTCGTTTATCATGACTATCCTTTTAGATCATAATTAGAACTATAGATGATAGTTTAAATTTGTTATTTAAAAAAAACAAAATTTACCTTTGCGATTATTCAATTAATTGATCTAATTTAAAAATGAATTCAAATACACGATTTGAACAATGCACAACCAAAGCCCTTCGTGAGCACAAAAACTGTCTAGGACGAGAGCAATATGCAAGGCGTATGACACGTGCTGATGAGAAATCTGTCGCTGAAGGTTCAGAAAGTCTTCATGAACGTAGAAACCGCCTGGCAAGAGAAGCGCGTGTTCGTCGTCTTGCAAAAGAAAACATTGATGAATCTGAACAACGTCGAAATATTCAAAGACAAGCACTTGCAAAGAGAACCACTGAGCAAGTTGAGTTACATAGAAAAAAACAAAAAGAATCTAAAAATCGTATCTCTAATGCAGCACGTATTGAGAATTATAATACAAAGACTGTATCTTTACATAATATTGGAAGTATAAGTATTGAATGTCCAGAATGCAAAGCATTACATTGGATAGATGAGAAAGTGGCAGGATCTCAACATGCACACATTTTCAGCACCTGTTGTGCAAAAGGCAAGGTGAAACTACCTGTCATTGCTTCACCACCAGAATTATTAGAAATGCTTCTCACAGAAGAAAGTCCGCAAGCACATGATTTTCGAAAAAAGATTCGTATATATAATTCTATACTTGCATTTACCTCCATGGGTGCCAAAATCGATGAACATGTTATCGGAACACAGGGTGTGTACAATTTTTGTATTCAAGAAGAAATACATCACACTATATCGGTTCTCTTATATCTGAAAATCAAGATTCACTATCATTCAATCAGATTTATATGTATGATACAAATGATCAGTTACAACAAAGACAATTATTAATGCCAAACCTAAATCCAACAACATTTACGCAACTTCAAACAATGCTACATGAAGTTAATCCTTATACACACATCTTTCGAAGAGCAGCTCATGTTTTACAAGAAAATCCTATACAAGATTTAAAGATTGTTATTGTCAAAACTAGACATGAACGTCAATATACAATACCTACCGCATCAGAAGTTGCTGTTCTTATGGTTGAAGATAGTCAAGAAGTTAAGCCATCTAATCGTGATATTATACTATACAAGAAAGGCGGTGGTCTCCAGCGTATCTCAGAAATCCATCATAGCTATAGTTCATTATATTATGTTTTGCTATTTCCATATGGTGATTCCGGATGGCATCCAGGTATTCACATAAATAATCCTCAAGCAGAATCTACTAGCAATGATAGTTCAGATTATAATAGTAAAGAAGATATTTCAACAAATGATAACACAACTAGAGATTATATATCAATGATGCAATATTATGCATATCGTTTGCATTTGCGAATATACAAATCAACTTAATTATTTGCATTACATAGATCCGGTCGTCTTTTTCAACAATATATTGTTGATGCGTATGCATGCATTGAGCAAAGTCGTCTAAATTATATAAAACATAATCAAAAACAAATTCGTGCTGAATTGTATAGTGGATTTCAAGATGCACTTTCAGCAAATGATGAATTACCATCAAATAAGCTTCGTATCAGTCGTCGAATTATACTCCCTTCAAGTTTTATTGGAGGTCCACGGCATATGCAACAACTGTATCAAGACTCGATGACCATTGTTGAGCAATTGGGAAAACCAAATCTTTTCATCACAATGACATGCAACCCAAAATGGCCCGAAATTCAAGCTGCATTGCTATCAGGACAAACAGCACAAGATCGTCCTGACCTTTGTGCTCGGGTATTTCGATTAAAGCTAATTGCATTACTTAATGATATTCTGAAGAATGAAATCTTTGGACGTGTAATTGGATATATCTATGTTATTGAAGCTCAAATGCGTGGCCTATTACATGTACATATGTTGTTTATATTAGCTCCAGAAGATAAAATTCATACAACTGAAGAATATGATCACATTGTATTAGCGGAAATACCTGATCCATATCAATATTCTGATGAATATGAAACTATAATTAAGTGTTTAATGCATGGACCATGCGGACCGTTTAATATATATGCACCATGTATGCAGGATGGAAAATGTTCGAAAAGGTATCCAAAAACATTTCAACCAGTTACATGTCAAAATGAGGATGGTTATTCAATCTATCGTCATCGTGATAATGGACGTACAGTAAAAGTAAAGGGATTTCAACTTGATAATCATTGGGTCATACCACATAATCTCTATCTTTCCAAAAAGTATCAATGTCATATTAACGTTAAGATTTGCTCTTCAATTCATGCTATTAAATATCTCTTTAAATATGTATACAAAGGTTATAATAAAGCAACTATAGTT